CTTTTTTTTTTTTTTTTTTTTAGTAAATCCATTATTGTTTCGGCTGTTAAGGTGATAGGTCAAAATTTGACTGCCCGATTTTATATTGTGTGTGTATTTTGCATTATATCCCAGAACTGGATAAACCAAAATTTTTGAAATTTGTCAGGGTTATTTTTTATACAGGGCATTACGCTATTAAATTTGGGAGATTAAAGGTCAAGGAGAAAGAAATATATAGAGGATATGAAGTCATTTCTCGGGTGGGAGTCAAACTTAATGAAACTTTTACTAGCATTTACAATTTTTTTTTAAAAACTCGCCGCTACTAGTAAAAATAATGCTTTTGCCTTTATATAATAATTAATAATATAAAAAATATTTTTAATAAAATTTCATAACAGATGGAGCCATAAATAATTTTAACTTTTAGCCATGTTCTTGGTGTTTTTTAAACTTAAATATTCTTTCTTGAAGAATATGGAGAAATTTATCATAATTTAACAAAATTACTCTTTTTAAGCTTTTATTATTATTATTATTATTATTATTTAAATGTTATATCGTAGTATAATTGAAAATTTCGGTTTTCTTTTCTGGTCCCCTTAACCTCCAGTTCGAATGGGAATTCAAAGTCGTGCCAAAGCTCTTTTCAGCTTATAAATCTTATTATTACATTTTTACCTGAATAATAATAAGCATATAATTCGAGGAAAACATATTACAAAATTGAATATAAATAAATATATATACATTCATGGCTCTGAACAACGGCCACTACAGTGAACATAATAAATGAATGTTGTTTGGAGGTGCCCATTATTAGAGGTACGACTTTATACATAATATTAATAACTATATATTAAATAATTACGATAAATGTTACTCATAACTGTTTAATGTACAGTTGTGTAGATATAAATTATTTAAATACTTAATAAAGAATAACTAAAATATGTTTATATTTTAATTAATTTATTACAGAAGAATAATATGTATCATTAAACTACAATTTCTATCGGAAAGATTTTACGGAAAATTATTGTATTTACAAATTATAAAACATTGAAACCTTAGTAACTACAGAGTGGGCAAGAAGTCCGTGAAAACTTTAAATATTCATGAAAAAAGAATTATCGGATTGAAATGCGGTTTGAGTGTGTTATTGTCAGCACGGGGGTTTTGTTGATCGTAAAAAAACTAGTTCCAAAAATCGCCGATAGGTGGCGTTGACATATAAAAGACAACGAATAAACGTGCAGCCCACCAGTGGCCAAGTGGTTCTGTTCCCTGAACACTGAGAGTTCGGTCATGGGTTCGCGCCTCGCCCGGATGGGCTAGCCATGTGGAATTTTCTGGATTTTCTCCACGTCTGTAATGCATAAATAGAGCAAGTTACCCTTAAAAGACCACGCAGAAGGTATTATTCCCCGCGTAACGACGAAATTTCCATCATAAACATCATAAACGCATTCTACGACAATTACGTCACACTTTACCACGGGCCATATGGCCTAGAAGCTCATGCCCAACTTGTTGATACAAGAAAAGACAAGAATAGACATGTAAACGACAACGAAAATGACTTTCACTGAGATTTCTGATTGTAGGGATATTTAAATTCCCGAATATTTCGATCAGGTTCTTCCACATTGTTGAAATTGAAAAATACTATTTGCCATAAGGTAACATTCATCCATCGAGGTATGCTGCACCATGCAGTCGCTGTCGTTGTTGGGCAGCAATTGGAAAAATTGTAGACATAAATTTCCACTATCGTCCGTCTGTCTTTCCTTAATCTCGAGAACGGAATTACCGTGTTTCCCCGAAAATAAGACAGTGTCTTATATTAATTTTTGCTCTGAAAAATGCGCTAGGTCTTATTTTCAGGGAATGTCTTATTTTTTCCANTTATTATTATTTAAATGTTATATCGTAGTATAATTGAAAATTTCGGTTTTCTTTTCTGGTCCCCTTAACCTCCAGTTCGAATGGGAATTCAAAGTCGTGCCAAAGCTCTTTTCAGCTTATAAATCTTATTATTACATTTTTACCTGAATAATAATAAGCATATAATTCGAGGAAAACATATTACAAAATTGAATATAAATAAATATATATACATTCATGGCTCTGAACAACGGCCACTACAGTGAACATAATAAATGAATGTTGTTTGGAGGTGCCCATTATTAGAGGTACGACTTTATACATAATATTAATAACTATATATTAAATAATTACGATAAATGTTACTCATAACTGTTTAATGTACAGTTGTGTAGATATAAATTATTTAAATACTTAATAAAGAATAACTAAAATATGTTTATATTTTAATTAATTTATTACAGAAGAATAATATGTATCATTAAACTACAATTTCTATCGGAAAGATTTTACGGAAAATTATTGTATTTACAAATTATAAAACATTGAAACCTTAGTAACTACAGAGTGGGCAAGAAGTCCGTGAAAACTTTAAATATTCATGAAAAAAGAATTATCGGATTGAAATGCGGTTTGAGTGTGTTATTGTCAGCACGGGGGTTTTGTTGATCGTAAAAAAACTAGTTCCAAAAATCGCCGATAGGTGGCGTTGACATATAAAAGACAACGAATAAACGTGCAGCCCACCAGTGGCCAAGTGGTTCTGTTCCCTGAACACTGAGAGTTCGGTCATGGGTTCGCGCCTCGCCCGGATGGGCTGGCCATGTGGAATTTTCTGGATTTTCTCCACGTCTGTAATGCATAAATAGAGCAAGTTACCCTTAAAAGACCACCCAGAAGGTATTATTCCCCGCGTAACGACCATCATAAACGCATTCTACGACAATTACGTCACACTTTACCACGGGCCATATGGCCTAGAAGCTCATGCCCAACTTGTTGCTACAAGAAAAGACAAGAATAGACATGTAAACGACAACGAAAATGACTTTCACTGAGATTTCTGATTGTAGGGATATTTAAATTCCAGAATATTTCGATCAGGTTCTTCCACATTGTTGAAATTGAAAAATACTATTTGCCATAAGGTAACATTCATCCATCGGGGCATGCTGCACCATGCAGTCGCTGTCGTTGTTGGGCTGCAATTGGAAAAATTGTAGACATAAATTTCCACTATCGTCCGTCTGTCTTTCCTTAATCTCGAGAACGGAGTTAGATAGATAAAATCAGAGACTGGATAGGGAAACTTAGGGCAAAAGGCCAAGATTAACTGTATACGAACTTCCAAAGAGAACCGAAAGTTACATTACAGTATTTCAATTCAATGCTTTTTTCCTGAAAGCAGTAATAGATGACTGACACGACTCCATTGCTAACGGAAAAGTATGATGTACTGTACTGTACATGGGCAAGATACTACAGTACTAATTTGAGGTGAACAGCATATATTTTAAATGAAATAAATTAAAAATATGATTAAAAACTGCAGTCCGGCATTGTGACGATGTCGCAATAAATAATTGCTCGTTACTAGGCTAAATTGTTATATCCTGTGGTAGAGTCCATGTCGAACACTTGTCTAATGAACCCATTGAAAGTCACTTTCATTCTTGTTTTCATTTCTTTTGTATGTCAACGCCACTTATCGTTGATTTTTGGAATTAATCTTTTCCTTCTCCGTGCTGATGACACCACGTAAACCGCATTTCATTCTGATAAATCTTTCATTTTTTTATGAATGTTTAAAGTTTTTACGGACTTTTTGCCCATCTTGTACTATATTTGTCGTTAAGATAAATAATTCTAAAGAAATAATAAATAAAAAGAAAAATTTACCGATATAAAACTTCCTCTTCTTGCTCTTTTGACTAATTCATGGATAATCCCCAGAGGTATACAGCTGATTGGTACTATTGCCATTGCCCAGCCAATACCATTACCCCACATAGGAAATTTGTAATCTTCCAATGTTAATGGTTTCTGATTTATCCAGCTCAGCAGTAATAATAACTATATATATATGAAATTTTAAGATAAATAAATAAATTTATAATTATTGTAAATTATAGCTGCATTACTCTAATTTTTCTAAGAGACGTATACTAATAATGTATTGATAAAAACAAAAAAAAAATGTTTTTTTTTTTTTTTAAACACACTTTACTATCCTTTTCATTACCGAAATGTATTTAAAGATGTAAAAATAATTTAGAGTTGAATATAGAGAATTTTTAGTATTGTTTCTATACCGTGTAGGCCTACACATTACTATTATTTCGCACATAGGTTTGGTTCAGATAATAATTACCGTATTTTACGAAATACAAGACGCAAGTTGCGCCTTGTATTCCGTCTTTTTGTCCAAAACAAAGGCTCGAAAAATTACCCTGCGAATATATGTGAAGTTGTGATCTCCCATAAGCTAATGAATTCCCCAAATTGCATGTACCAAATTCATGGTTATCTGATATTTTAATTTAAAAATGTATGTTTATTATATCTAACTTGAACGCACGATATGCATGTATATTTTAAAATACTAAAAGTTGTAGTAGTTTAACAGTTTAATTTAATTAATTACTTTAGTTTACTTTAGATTCAAGCTACTACCAATCTGATTAATTTATTACAAATGTATTGTAATAAATTAATGTACCATATACTCCGAAATCCGATAAACATAATCAAATATAGAATGCAATGATAATGCATATATGTAAATACACTGTAGTAATACTACTCAATTCAAATTCGTATAATACATGACTTAAATTAAAATTAAATTAACGACATCTCGAACTAAAAACAAGAAAATAAACTATATATAAATCCATTAATTATTATTTTAAATGTCTAAATAATAAAATGATAAAACTCAACTGCAATGACGATAGGTGCAAATGTCATTAGAACGACAATAAGATGACTTCTGATCCATTCGTTTGGATTCCAACCGGTCATTTCTTTCAAATCATTCATAAATCTACCAACACCTAAGATAAAAGAAAAAATATTTAAGTTGGTGTTAACATTATCTCAATTTATAACACTTTTTGAGAACGAAACTCAAGAGGGAGGAGGGATAGAAGAGTGTCATATCACCAGTGGGGTCGGACTTAATAAAAATTTTACTCGTTATTCGCATTTAAAATATTTTTAAAACTCATCCTTACTCTCAAAATTAAACTTTTTATGCCTTTTTATAATAATTAATAATACAAGCTGTTATTTAAAAATAAATTTTATAATAGATGGATCACACAATTTTTAACTTTGAGTTAGTGTCGTGGTGTTTTTTAAACTTAAATATTTTTTAAATGGAAACTTTTATCGTAATCCAACTAAATTAATCCTTTTAAGCTTTTGTTATTACATTTTATATCGTAGTAAAATTGAAAATTATCAGACTTTCTTTCTGGTTTCTTTAACATCCTGTTCGAGTGCCAGGAAAGTCATGCCAGCTTTTCTTTTAACTTTGTTTACAGTTGAAAGTGAATTAACTTCATTTCTTCGTCCATAAATTAGAAAAATAGGCTGAGATAAATGATTCTGAACTGTTTTATAAAACGTGTATAAGAAATTAAAGAGATAATGTTTGATATTTGACACAATTCTAATATCTTGACATATCAAAATTCGGTTTAGTTTAGATGTAGGATTATTTTGCTGATATGTTTTATGAAATTTCTTTTAATTTAACATATAACATATGAAGATTATATGTAATTTTCAGTATTTATATATTTTTATGACTAATTTTGTCTTATTTTATTAATAAATTGTGTTTCTACAGGGATATATGTTGTCCGATTTTTAAAAATCTTGAAACATGATTTTAATTTTTTACGTTTTATCGTTGACATTTTTGTAATACAGAGAATAAATAACATGTGATCAGAATTAAAAGTAATCACTTAAACTGTAAAAGAGGTTAAGTGTCACCATTTTAAAACTTAACAATCGAATTCCTGCTTTAAAAAACAATTTCTTGAATTACTTTTTATTACGAAGTTGTTTCGAAATAAAGAAAAGCTGAAGAGAATAAATAACAATTTTATTTTTATTAAATTGAATAATGAGCTATTATTTTAAATAAAAAATAAATTTTTATTTGACTAATTTTACGAATTGTTTACGAAATAATAATTTTAAGAAATATATAATGTTATTTTTAGAAATACTTTTAAAAAATTGCTTAAAAATAATCAATTGTGACAAAAAATATTTATTATTTCCACGAAATGATAATTTATAATATTTTCTGAATGATCCAATATCGAAAATAAAGATTCACATTTTTTAAATGATTTATTAAAGTTATGTGTCATATAGATTTCATTATGGTCACATCGTTAGTACATCCAATAAAATGTTCTGTATAATTGATTGGCATTTACAGAATGATTAAAATATCATAAATAAAATACTATTTATAGTTAAAACATTATACAAATAAGAAGTTTATAATATGATGATATCTAAAAGTAATACTTACCATAAACATAAGATACTACAAGACATTCCATCAATCCAATTAGTAGATACGGCCAACCAGCAGCATAATTATCCATTATTTCTAGTAAGTAATTGCCCCCCTAAAAAGTTTTTATTATACCGCCATTATATAAAAATGTCATATTTGTATGATATAAAAATTATATTTAAATATTTTGCATAAATATAATATTTTAATAATAAAATTATCT